CTAAAACAATTACATAGGAATTTAGGACAAACGTCAAACATCATGCTTGATTGAAAAATTGTAGGTTTCTATTGATTAAAAATCTGTATCATAATGAAAAATCTGTATCATAATGGGTATCATTATGAAACGGATTATGGGCATATAAGTGCATTATTATAATACGGGTGTAGAAAAAAGTAGTTTATATTTAAAATATTGTAAGTTAGGAAGAAATTCTTTAAATATTAACTGAGGAAATTTATTAATACCATAATATTATAATTATTAATAAATATCTCACAAATACGAGTTTTTCTTTAACAAAACATTTGTTACAGTAAGGTATAGTCATAGATATATAACCAAGACAGAGGATTATTTACAAAATTTTTGAAGAATGAACGGTGGTGTCCGCGGTAGAAACTAAATAATCGAATTGAACATTGATGCCAAGTTTACGTGCTTTTAACTATAGATATATATAACCAATACAGATTACACAATTTCTGAAGTCAACGCGGATGATCCTCGACAGAAATGCAATATTTGGATAAAATTAAAATATTGATGCCAAGTTTGCGATGTTTTTAACTTTAGTAATGTTATTGCGTTTGCTTGAATTACTGTTAGGTCTTTAAATTGTCCAAAAAAAATATAATGTCTGACAACAGCGGAAATAGAGTAGACCGCAGTTGTGGAGGGTCGTATATTGTTTCATTCATAAAAATTCCTTCGATACAGTACTAGTCCAGGAGCCAGTGAATTTTTTCGTACTTGTTTTCCCGGTCCGTGTATATTTAAATAATCTATTCCCGGTGAACTGTATATTTAAAATGGAACGCTAATCTATTAACAAAAGTAAGCCAGATTGAATTCGCGCATTACGTCACATCGATACAAGTGAGATTGTTTACAAAGTGCCTTTGCAGGCCTATTTTGCCCATTTCATGTATTTGTTTTTAAATCATGTTAAATTACTATTTTTGAAACTCAACAAGGAAAAAATCCAATTAACTCTTCCGTTATGTAAGATAAATTAACTGAAGTTTTATTAGTATAGTATTAATACTAAAATTTTAATGTAATTTACAGAAAATAGCTAGGTATGTATTTGTTTTTAAATAATTTGATAATTTATGAAAAAAGGGAGTAAAAGTGGAATGACCAGTGGCCAGTAGGTCAGTCAATACAAAGTATCATATATTTCTATTATAACATAACTAAAATACCTATATCTTTTAATCATAAGGACATAAGTTAAAAACCATTTTAATATATGCATTAGAATGAAGTAATAATAACTTAAAGAGACGAGGTCTTAAAGTAATAGCTGGTACAGCATGTTTTTTAAACGTTTCCTCATTACTGCTAGAATGAAATCACTTACTATGAAATGTGCTCTAAAAACGGCATTTATAGCAGTCAATGTTTAGTCTTAGGATCTCTTCCTAAAGCCATCATCCAAGGTGCATACATATTAAAAAAATAATTTAAAAAAAAACATATTATATACCTATATAGTTTTCGGTTCTGGGTGCCCTAAAAGAGGACACTTAGCCGACAATTTGGCTCAGATAGCTAAAACCCAAAAGTCACACCCCGAACCAGGACGTATTTTAAGTAAAAAATAACTACAAATAACTTACCTGAAAAATGAAGGCGTCTAACTTTACACCAAAAAAACCATACACTTTTTCCCATTGTTGCAAGCACCCGATGACGATTAGGTAGATATCAACTAGAAGCATGTACTTAATGGTTATAAAGCTTATTTTAACACAAAAAGAATAAAGCACTAGTCGAAAAGCAGCGATCAAATATAAATAGACCACAATATTAAAATTCAAATTAAAAACTATATAAAAGACAAATACTCTAAAAGCGCAAAAGATCAGAACCAAATAAAATGAATAACCATAATAACCTAAAAATCACACTAAAATTGCAAAAACTATTACTGTAAAATCATGAGATTACATCAATATTGCATATGCGTCGGAGTATCGCAAATGTCAAAAGTACAGTGTTTCCATGAAAATTTATCTATGTTTTTAGCAGTATTATAGGACCATTTCTACCACGCGCATCCAACGATATTGGCGTTCCACAGTTCACTGTATTTTCCTCACACCTCTAGTATAAATGATTTGACATATGTAACGAAACTAACAGTAATTATAATTAATGTAGAGTAATAAGTGATTCGTGAATTCTAAATAAAACAATTATTATATAAAAGTGTAAAAGGAAATGTAATTTATTTCCCTATTTTCTTCTGTAATATCTTCAATTATTATGTTTAATTTCTATAAATAAACCAACTGGTTAGGTGAAACATTGTGATATATGATTTTATTTATGTGTCCTATGCGTACACTTTAATATACAAAACACCTGGAACATTCTTTAAATAATTGTGGTCGTAGAAATACTTGTGTACATAACTCGTTTGAAAGTGTATTTTATGCACTTGCCAAATATATTATCCATACAGATTAATCAGACTATTTTTTTACTTAACTTCAGTACATCTCTTACTACTAAAACTATTTTTATTAATGAAAAAAAAAGGGCCGTGTTCTCGTATGTTTTGACGCATTTTCGGCCTTAGCCCATCGGATCCCCCCTCTAAATATATATGAATTTTGCTTAGAATTGCTAATCCTACAATTCTCTATTCGTGCTTGCTGACTGGGAAAATAAATACCGAAAATCGTCACTGTCTCCTGGACTATACAGTAGATGATGATGAGAACTTCAAAACAAATACACTTTTATGAATGGCTAGTTGGGGATGTGATATAACCAAGGTATAGTAGATATTAACAAATGTTTTACTCGGCAATATACGTATATTTAAAAATAACTATTATGTTTATCTAAACATTACAAATTTCTTAATATTAAAATACAACTCTTTAAATATAACAATTGTACTTTCGTGCTCTACGAAATAAATAAATTTTAATATACAGCTATGATAAGTTAACTATTAGCGAATATATTTTTAATAATACCCAGACTCAATGTCCCCTTAATGCGCCGATCTCAACGTTGCCATTCACTTTTTGTTATTGCGCTATCATAGGAAATGTAAATAATTCAAATTACCTACCCAGACAGCACACCAAATCCTTTGGATATCTACTTAACATCCCAATATCCACTGAATGTCCAGTCCATGGTAGATATCTATTTTATATCCATGAAATGTAATTTATAGACATGCAAATGTCCATAAATAATAGTAATTATATAGCAAATTATTAAAAAATTACGCCATTGTGGCTAATAGTACCGTTCAGATATTTAAAATTAATTTTTTTAAGGTGTATTCAATATCCCATGGACATCCACTAAATATATCAAAGTCTAGGCGCGAACGCAAACCATGGTGGATATCCAATAGATGTAATTTTTGATTTTGCTTACTAAGTATAGATGGCGATACCACTTTCGCTCGTGCTCAACCCGCCGTAATTGAGTTCGATCGAAATTTGTATCCCAATCAGACTCCATTAGAGACTGGAGTCGAGAATTTTCATTTATTGCTGAACCGAACCTACTTGGCGCTTGCCCTTTAGGGCTAGAATTTTCTGGCACTTCTTGGCAACAGTTGAAAAACCAAACTCGTCTACATTGAACTTTTTTTTGCATTAAGCTGGAATTCATCGACAATTTTCTCTAGAAATTCGAAGAACTGGGTAACATTTTCTCTATTTTATTTAGCGTCGATTTTGGGTACGTTGCAGCGCTAGCGTCGACACTTAACGTCGTGGCGAAGAAGAGGAAGGTATTTATTACGGTACTGCGTCGGGACGGATATAAGGTAGGAAATACTTAGGTGGTACTACGCGACGAAGGGTGTCAACAAGGGTATTATGAAAGAAATATTATGTAGATTTTCAAGGCGGCCAGCATTGGGGAGTAGGACGTTGATAGTCGGGACGTAGGGCGGTTGGAAGTGAAACGTTCGGAAGATAGGTCGTCGAGACGTAGAAAGGTAGGGGTAGGGAAGTAGGGCGGCAGGACGTAGAGCGTCGGTTTAAAAAAATAAAAAAAGGTACTCAATACTGAACTTGAAATTTGCAAAACAACTGAATTAGACTCTGTCGATATAGGTGTTATCACAATACGCTGGTGAAATGCGGCATAATTCCCTGCCCCACCCTGTATATTCATTTGACAGCAACATATGTTCAATTTACAGACTTTTCGTCATGAGAAACGAAGTGAGTAACAAAGCTGTCAAATTTGTCGCACGACGAGCGACAATGCTGTCACTTCATGTCAGTTCTCGGATAACGTCACCTTTTCGGTTGGATTACTAAGCGCAAAAGCCTACTTTGGATAGTGGTCGTAGAAAAAGTATTTTTTACGTTCCACGTACAACACGGTATGTAAACGGCATGAAATTAGATAAAAATAGACTTATATGACACGCTTTCTTATGTCATTGGTGTCAATTTTATTTCGTTAGCTTGGCTGGATTGTTCCTGTATAAAAGTTTTCTACTGGTTAATAATAGGTGTCTGATATGTGTTAAGAGTCAACAAAACTAACGACAATCCTGTAGGTGTAGTAGTATTTGTAATGACAGCCAGTGGAAAGTAAAACACGCTGGTTTAAAAAATACGATAACAAATTTTACTCAATGACTTGAAAGATGAACTTTAGCACATTAATTAATCTTATAACATAATATAGGATATATAAAAATGTTCTTTCCTTTTAATCCGGTTGTTTATGCATTTTTCAGAGTGTTACTGTAAGCTTGATTCTTATTGGCTGGATTTAGCGTCAGTTATGCTTAACACCATTGGTTATACATGCTGTTAACTGAAAATTTACATACGCTTCGACAAGTATTTGTTAAGTTCCATTTTAGACCAGTTGAAGCGTCAAAAAAACAAAACCTTCAACTTATGTGGAAGGGTTTACCGTAAAAAATGGGATTTACAATCAAAAAACAGAAATAAACATAACAAACCGAAAAAACATTTTTATTTAAATAAAATGTTTCGATTGGACCAAAGAAACATCGTAAAAAGAAATAAACGTTTCTTTTATCCAAGTGCACCTTCAGAATGCATACTCATAAATAATTATAGGCCATGCGAATTTTAAAACGTATATATCCAACAAAATTAGAATAACATATTATATAACTGATAACAATAACAAAATTATTCTTAATTAGAAATTAAGACGTACACCAACAAATTTTTCAAAATAAAAAAAATATTGTCAAATAGAAAAACGAATAAGAGGGCATTTTCAAAAATTTGGATTAAAAGAAAAAGACTCACCCTTTACTATAAAACTAAATAAAATAATTATACATTTCTATCACAAATACATTTTTCAACAAGCTCCTTGATTTTGGCGCCCAACGTGGGGCGAAATACAAATTGAATAGAAAATCGGTGACATTTGTATAACACATTCGAAATTTTGGAATCAGTAAGGACTTTTCATTAACTATTTGTAATTTTTAAAATGGACAGTGAAATTGTACGAAAGTTGCCATTTTAGATTTTAAAGGGGGGGAAAGATTGGACCGGGTGAAGGTGTACAGGAATAAGAATAGTAGTGTTGAGCATAATCATAGGATCAAAATTAGAGATCAATCGGATATACTACCAGTTAAAAAACTTTTTTCAACGGTTTAAACCAATTACTATGTAATTTAGAAATATATAAGTTTTTCTACCTCTACCTGATGATGCCCCAATTAGAGCAAACCCGTACGTAAATTATTCTACAACATTCTTTAATATTATTGCTTGTTTTCATATCGATCTTTCGTGAAATTTACTACAGGTATCATCAGATCAAATTGTACAGCAGACGGGTGTATTACCCGTTATACAATCTTTTTTAATAGTTCTACCATAAATTCATTTATATTAGTATGACAGTTGAATTTCAACAAGTTTTTCATTAATTCTTGGTTACGATATTATTTTCTGATAAGGGGCATCTAATTGGATGTTTTCATATTTGGCGCCCAACGTGGGGCGGAATACGAATTGAATAGCAACACAAGAAAATCGGTGACATTTGTGTATCAAAATCGAATTTTGAAATTGATAAGACCTTTTCATAATCTATTTGTAATTTTGAGATTTGACAGTTAGTTTAATTGTACGAAAGTTGCCATTTTAAAGTAGTTTCATTTATAATAAATTGTGTGATTTAAATGACTTATATTATTGACTTTGAGAGAAGGGGGAATATTGGGTCAAATTTCTACACTACTCGTTATAAAATTATTTTCAACAGTTACAAATAACATATATATGTGGCCCGAAGGAAAAAAAGGTTGACTATAGCTGATTTAGATGAAATAAAATGATTTTCTTTTATTCTTCTACAAATCTATCATAGATTGTACTCGTTAGAAATCTTAAATAAACCAAAATGCGCATTATCTAAACCGAAATTGTAAATTAAAGTGATGTAAAACATAGAATTGCTATAGAGTTGTTTAGTGTTGTGATACGGTCGTAATAGACCAAATTAATCAGGTATTTTTATAACACGTAAACTGTAGGAATTTTGGGGATAATTCACGATATTTTAAAAGTATATTTGTTAATTTTTTCCACAATTCTTGTAAATATTCGTTTTTCTATTTGTCGATATTTACATTACAGTATTTATAGAAAATAAATAAATTAGTACTTTGCAGAATATTTTTTTTAACTATTAAACGTACCATTTATAAAATGAATTACTAACCAAGATTGGCACATCTTAGAACATAATGTGGTACTTATTTTTTTGACTTATACTATTTTTATATTTTTTGCAATTTTGATTTTTTTGGCTTAACTAAGGTAATAAAAAAAACGATACTACGAGAAAAATAACGGTAGAAATATTTACATTATACTACAATCAGAGTTGCCTTGCAATTGGTTGGGTAAGTTCAACGGGTTTCCTTGCTGATCGAAATTGAAAGGGGCTTCTAAATCCCCCACCAGTTCGGCGGGAGGTTGTCCGTAATCTTGAAGCTAAAAAAAATAAAGAAAAAAATTGATGGTATTCCTCAATGATCCATCCATGGACTCACACCTCTTGCAATATAATACCTACTTTTTGCATGAGTGCTAAAACTTTGCTAAATCGTTCCTTCTTAATATCCTCACTATCACTTTCTTGTTCTTTATTTAATTCTTCCAGCACTTCTTCCATCAGCTTTTTTTGACTTTCATAACGATCGATATCTTTCTTGTCTAAAGTTTCCTTATTCTTTTCGATGTATTCCGGTAACCTTTTAACGAAATCCTCCAAACTCGGGCCAAGTACCTCTTTAGATAGCAGGCCTTGCATCATGCCTAGAAATAAGAATTTTTTACCAATCTGTCGTTATTATGATGTGGTAATGCATACAATTTATTAGTTTTACTCCTAATATAACAATACACTAGAATTGATCGCCATGTTCTCAACAGCTGAAGATATGAAAAATGCTTTGTATTTTTAACATCTTGATAATTTTTTTTACCTTGCATGAAGGGTAACAAATTATTTTCTTGTCCAGAACCTTCGCCGGCGGTAAACATTTTCATTAATTCCTCCTCATTTATGGGGGCTTGTAGGCCTTCAGCGCCAGCATTTAAAGATTGAATGGCCTGTGAAATAGAATTTGCGAAATCGCTAGAAGTGTCAGTTGTTTGAGTTGGATTTTCGAGCACTTGTTGTGCAGCGTCTGGAAGAAAAACGTTTCTAAATCGTACCTGTCATAAATAACCAATTGAAGATGTGTTCAGTTGAAGATAAGAAGATGAAATATCACTCTGTGATATGTAGGTAATGATTACATTTAACATTCATAGGAAATTCGTAGAAAAAATATTATATCGCTCGCTGGAGTGGATTTCTTGCTGAATTGATAAATTATATAATAAATGGTTTCCTAAACTACTGGTTAAACTTGAGTCAGTTTCAAAGCATCATAAATATTGCAGAATACAATATCTTTATTTACCTGAGAAAATATTACATTTTATGGCTCGTCAAATTACAATTAAATTTACAAACATTTACAACATAGTTCACTGAATCACTCAGAAGACACAGTAACAGCCTCCATCCGTATTGATTTAAATTCCTCTAAGTTATATAGGCAATTATTGGATAACACTTGTTTTAATGCATGTTTAAATGTATCTATAGGCTGATTTCTAAAATTAAATGGTAGTATATTGCATAGCTCAGTATATTTCTTTGTCCTTTCCAGTCTATACTGGATAGGGACTAAGTTATTTTTGTGCCTTGTATTATAGTTATGGATATCTGAGAGATCTAAATAATTTTAAACATAGATGTAACCAATTTTAAACATCTTTAATAATAGATGCATGTAACTGACTTAATGCCACTATTTGGACACTTGGTTATTTTTTAAAATTTATTTCACATTTTAAAGATTTGACTAAAAGTAAGTAGCTTTTTAGCATTCTAAAATTTCGAAAGTTTGTTAGCTTTGGACAATTATGGATTATTTCAGCGGTGAATGTGAATGTTTTGATGAATTAAAAATAAAAATCTAAAGGAATAGTTCCGGTACATAATAAGCTTCCACTAGTGGAAATCTGACAATCATAATAAAATCTACTGCAAAGCACAATCTTATTGGCATGTTCTTCAGGATAAATTGCAATTAATTTATAAATAAACAAAGTTATATTACATCGTTAATTGATTTTTTAAAAGTTTCACGAGAAAAAGTTTGATTAGTTGATTTGACTTGCGTTGTTTAAATAGAGAACCAACTAGAATTTGTACTGACAAAAACGGTAATACATCGCGTACTAAAATTGAATATTTTCTCACAAACTATCTTTCTACATATACGGAAACCGTGGTAGACCTCTGTATTGGAGATCACCTAGCAATTGACGTGTCATTAAATTATATAAAGGAAAAATGTTATGTAACTAATATCAATGAAAAAGTACATTTTAGAGACTTATCAGAGGCGAATTTACTTAATCTGCAGCAAAAAATAAGTTCTGAAAATTTTGATTCTATGTATGAATATTTTGATAACATAAATCTTGCCTATGAAACATTCTTAAATATTCTAAATTACTATATAGAAGTAAATTGTCCAGTTGTCACAAGAGCTGTAAAAAAAATAACTGGATAACTCCAGATATTTTGAGGATGGGAGCTGATATAAGGAATTTATTTTGGTTAGTAAAAAAATTCTAATGTGAATATACATATTAGATACAAAGAAGCAAAGAGACAATATGTCAATATAAATGGAGCAAAAAAAAACTCATTTTCAAAAGGGATTGCACAACAAAACTTTTCAGCAAAAACAAAAATATATATGGAAACTGGTAAATCACCAAGATGGTAAAACATCAAAAGGTTCTCAAGTTAAACAAATTGAAATAGGAGGGCTGTAAATTATTGAACCAAAACAAATTGCTAAAGTTTTTGCAGAGCATTTTGCCACCTGCACAAAAAAAGCACTACATTCTCATTTCAATGATTTGAATTTTAAAAATTTTACTGCGTCATGTGTCTCTCAGACCTTTTACTTCTCTCCTGTTAATTATGGTGATGTAATTGAAGTTATTCACTCATTAAAAAATGTTAACTCTATGGGGATTGACTGCATTTCCACAAAGATAATAAAACGTATTAGTCATCACATCTCTCAAATTCTAGCAGACTTAATCAATCAGTCCATTCAGCTAGGTATTTTCCCAGATTATCTGAAAGTAGGATATGTAACTCCTATCTTTAAAAAAAGGTGATAATAATTTAATTGATAATTATAGACCTATTACAGTGCCTACAATCTTTGAAAAGTGTGTCCACAAAAAATGCTAATATTTCTTAAAAAATATAAAATAATATGGAAAAATCAAAATGGATTCCTTCCAGAAAAACCTACTGAAAGTGCAGCAATAGATCTTTTTAATTTCATACATACTTCTATCGACCAAAAGTTGTTTGTGGGTGCGCTTTTCTTTGATTTATCAAAGGCGTTTGATTCAATCAATTTAGATGTCGCTATTCAAAAATTGGAAGGGCTTGGTTATAGAGGTAACTTATTGTCTTGGTTGTCATCTTATATAAATAACAGACAGATCTATGTCAAAGTCGGAAATTGTAAATCTAAACTAGAAAGTGTTGATATGTGTGTGCCTCAGGGATCAATTTTAGGACCTCTAATTTTTCTATGCTACATAAATGATATGCCTAATCATATTAACTCAGAAAACATAATTTTATATGCAGATGACACAACAATTGCCACCAAAGCACAATCAGTAGATGAATTAATTAGTAAATTAAATGTTTTATCTAATTATGGTGTTATAGAAATTATTTAATTGTTAATTCAAACAAAACCGTTTGCCTTCAGTTCTACTCCAGAAATCAAATTACCCAGAATTGCAAAATAGATTTCAATAATGCAGAAATTATGCTCTCAGATGTTACAAAATTTTTGGGCATACATATTGATAGCAATATGGGTTGGGATAGGCAAATTAATCCCTCTAGGTTTGTACTTGTATTTTTATTAATATTAGTTATTAACTAATATTTTTACATTTCTAATATGAATTTTTTGATCTGGTAATATATGTTTTGTAGGTCTAAACAAGAAGAAACATATGCTTATGTCTACTACAGTACCTAGTTTAAATTTGCCTAAACTACAAGCTAAGGCATGACATTAATAAAAAGAAAAGGAATCCAGCAAAAACAAGAATTATGGCTACTGTCTTATAATAATCTTCTTCAGGCAATGGATATATGTATGCATAATTTAAAATGTTTGGTTAATTATTATATGTTTAATGTGTTTTTGCAATTAATAAAAATATATCTAATATTGAAGCAAATGTTGATGATATGTGTGCTGCTGAAAAGCTTTGCATAATTTAAATATATTCAAATAATTAAAAAAACTTAAAACAGAACATAAGTATAATTAAAACTCAATAAAATAGACAATTCAACAAAATTTCAGCTCGACTAAACTTTTTTTAAACCAGTTCTCTAAAAAGTTTATTTACCAGTGAGTATTCATAATTAACACAAAACACAAACATTGCATGAAGTAGACAAAAAGAAAACATCTCCAAGTCTGACCTGCTTTTCATCATTTAATTTACATATGGATGAGCAGTCTACATAAACTATATATGTCATTGACTATGGACATGCTCTACACCTCTAAATGTATTTTTCAAGTAAATAAAGATTTCTTTCTTTTGAAGGAATATACTGCAGGTCTACAAATAATTATGTAAGATTCATTTTTTAAATCTCTGTATACTATCAGTATAGTTTGTTCAATTTTAGTATCAATATCGAATTTAAAAATACATTTCTATTATTTAGAAAAGCTTTGAGTCAGTATCAAAAGTATTGTAGAATAATTATTATACTACTACTATTCTGAAGATTATTTGTTTCAAGCACCTTTCCATCGATATAAATGAGTTGAATAAATAATATAAAATTGTAAATAGTTGAAAATTTTCCTTACTATGCTTACCAGCCATTTGTTGTAGTTTCTGCTGGATAAACTCGGGTGTAACTTGAGCATTGGGATCAGCGCTAGCTAAGAAAGTAGCGAAATTTTCCTCAAACTGACTAGCTGCTTGCTGAATGAAATCTTTAGACCAATCTTGGTCTGGTTGTGTGCCAGTAGATGTACTGACCTCTTTGCCAGTCGCTTCGCCGCTCCCCTTCGCATCTTTTTGCGTTTTTTCTATTTTTGTAAAATCTTGTAGAGCACCTGAATTGAAAATTATTAGTAAAAATCGGTTTATATTATGTAATCACTGTACTGTCTAAAAGGTTGGATAATTCATCGTCGGTGTTGCTGGTTTTCGGCGTTTCTTCCTTCTTGTCGGTCATTGTTTAGTAGGATATAAATTGTCATAAAATAATTAAATTCAATTGAATTTTATTGACTATATGCAGACTATTTTTAAAAAAAAGTTTAAAACAATATTAAATAAATATGAATGTATTTAAGTTGCCACTGAGAACTAATAGTGGAGAGGAAATTAAAATTAAATTGTGCTGCTATATTTTAGTAATAAATAATGTTCAAAAATTAGAAAATATCACGTTTACAACTCACGTTACAATCACACTTTTTTTTTGACTTTGACGTTATATGGTTTTGACTTTGACACTTTTGACAGTGTCACTTTAAATTTCTCTTCTTCTTTTAACCGCTCTAGCCTGCAAGAGGGACGCTAAACAGCCTTGGAATTTTAAATTTGACAGTTTTCTAGAAGAATATGGCGATAAGTGATTCCGGTTTCCAGTACCGTACTGTCATAAGAGGGCAAAGAAAATAAAATATCGATTGCTTATAATATGTATACATTTTGTAAATCTACGGATGTATATGTATTTAATGAGTAGCTATTTTTTCGCAAAGACGAGTAATTTGTATTTTTGTTTAAATTAGTCATCAATATGTGAATAAACTTGACTTTAAAATTGGTTAAAGTTTTTGGGATAATTTGAGAGATTTTATTTAAAAATTCAAAGCAATAATGTATTATTGACCTATTTTGTACTCATAATTAGTTTAATAAGAAACAACATAAATTAGTATTATACAGGCTCCAGTTTATTGACAGAATTCCAGCAGTTGAAGTTTATCGAAAAATAAAGGTACTTTGTTGTAGTTTTATTTAGTTAATTTAAATTTTTTTGTATTTTTTATAGGTAAAATTAGATAATTTATCAATTAAAACATGCAAGACTAATTTAGAAATAAATAAAACAGTATGTTATGTTGGGAATGGGGTGTTAATACACTGCGACCTAAAATATCTATTAAGCCCCCTTCTGTCGCTAATGCACCAAGGAAATGTGTCAATACCTATAACTAACCTTCCAATTCTATTTTCTTAAAGAAGTGTAGGATTTGATATCCTCCTATATAGGACATTCAGTCAGATTGTGAATGGAGGTTTCGTCCGCCTCCTCGCAGAATCTGCACTCATTATCCTCTACTACTGTGTCCTTACAACTTAGGTGTCCTTTTAGTCGGCAATACCCGGTAAGGATCACTGTTACAATACCTAGCCTGTTGTTGCTCAGGAAGATGCAGGCTTCCGATCTTTTCTGGTTATATTCATTCAGAAGTATCTTGGCCTGTCTCAGCCCCAAGAGGTTGTTCCAATTATCGGTACTTCTACTGCTTAATTCTTTTTTAATCTCTCCTAATATTATGTGACTGCTGATACCGCAGAACGGCTCAGGTCCTACAAAGAGTGTTTGAGCCCCTTTCCTTGCAAGACTATCTGCAATCCCGCTACCTGCAATCTCGTTACCCTGTACTCCGTTATGTCCCGGGACCCAAGTAAGAGTAACTCTATTTTTCTCGCCTAGCTCATTCAATTGTTCTAGGCATGTCCAGACCATTTTTGAGCTGATTACATAAGAGCTCAGCGCTTTGATGACTGCTTGATTATCGGACATGATGATAATCTCTTGTCCGCCTGGAAGATGCTTGGGTATTAACTCAAGCTTTCGGACTGCTTAGTTCTCGGCCCATACACTCCTATTCCAGTTCCTTCTATGGTTTTGGAATCGTCCCTATACCACTAAGGCCCAGTTGTACCATTTGAGTTCAGGCAAGGTTCAACTAAACTTGGTTTTGATTGTGACATTTGGGTATAGTTAGTACGACGTTTGTCACAGTCACAGTAACTTGAACCTCTCCTAAACTGGAGTGGTACAACTGAGCCTTAATAGCACGTCTTTCGGTCGCAAGTGCGATGGATTCTTGGCTCCATTCTTTCTTGCAGCCCAGCTCTGTAGGTTTGAAGTTTTTCACAAAACTGTACTTCTTTGGCATTTCACCTGGGGCATGTCCCAGGTATACAACAGTATGTTCTGTGCTTTATTCAGCAAAAAACAAGTTTATTTTTATTATTTTGACAAAATTGTGTATAATTCCCATAAGAAGCCATGTATTTTGAACAGCGTTAGCAGTACCAGCGCCCATGCGGTGAATTATGAAAGTTGTGAGCACGCCTCTGGAATTACACGCTCGAAGAACATATTCGAAAGACCTCATAAAGTTGTTAACAAACAAAATTTAATTTAAATCCGTCAAAGCATTTTTTAAATACTAATAAAAATACTATATGCTATCAATAATTAAACAAAATTGGACAACCTTTATTTTTTGATAAATTATCAGCTAGTAAAATACTAACGATAATAACTGGACCACCCTCTATAAATATTATAAAAATGTAGTGAGTATAAAACTGAATATATGCAACACTGCATACACAAGTAATGGTGGTTGCCTGATAGTAGGGCGTTATATATAAATTTTGTACAAAATATAATTTATACAGGCATCTAAATACAAAATAAATGTGGTTTGACTACGCTCAATAAACGCATTTTACATCAAATTAACATGAAATTGATCGAAGAGTAACTAATTAGATTATTTGCTTGATTTAACCAGCGACGAGATTGATGAAAACCAAAACGCGATGTGATTTAGATTAATTAATAACGAAAATAGTAAACTTTGCAGGAAATATTACAGAATTTAAATATGGTTGAGAGATTGTACTTCTAATTGATTTTGAGTTTTCAACTAATTAGGCTTCTCCCCACCCGTACATAAATAATTGTCTAATTGTCTAATCATATTGGAAAAATAAATTTGTCGTAAAGAAACATTTTGTTATGTTTGAATGAGAAAAATATACAGTGTTCGCCAAAAAGTGCATATATTTCTTACGTTATGATAAAAATATCTTTGATAAAAGTTGATGTTGTTAAATCCAAAATGAAATTATCAAAAATCAATATTTTATTGACTCATACTTCTGCAGGAAGTATGTAGTAGGTATTCGAAAACATCTTTTGATTAGTTTTCGGTATACAGGGAGAGAAGTATTTTTGCAAATTTTTAAAAACCTAGGACATTTTAAAGAATTTTGATTACAGATATTTTTCAATGATCTAATCTATTAGTGGTGTCAAATAATATTGCCAGCACAACCTATATCATCAAAATTATATTAGTTACAGGATCAGCACAAATTATTGAAAACTTAATTTTAATTGTTGGATATTTATTTTGGAATACTTTCCAAATTAATACAAGGGGAGCTAATGACAAAGGACGATTTCAAAAAAATAAATAAATAATGCCTATAACATTGCGCAGCTCTTCTAGCGGTATTCCAGACACTTCACGTGCAATCCTTTTAACGCCTAGTTCTTGTTCATTGCTATCCACCTCTGGTTGGACCAGGCAAAAGATGTCACAAAATATGGTGTTATAAAGAAATCTGTACCATTGCTAGAACGAAAGTATCTGCAATTTTAAGTCGAGCTAAATCATTTATATAAAGAAGAACACAGAAGAACACAGAAGAACACAGAAGAACACAGAAGAACACAGAAGAACACAGAAGAACACAGAAGAACACAGAAGAACACAGAAGAACACAGAAGAACACAGAAGAACACAGAAGAACACAGAAGAACACAGAAGAACACAGAAGAACACATAAGAACACAGAAGAACACATAAGAACACAGAAGAACACAGAAGAACACAGAAGAACACAGAAGAACACAGAAGAACACAGAAGAACACAGAAGAACACAGAAGAACACAGAAGAACACAGAAGAACACAGAAGAACACAGAAGAACACAGAAGAACACAGAAGAACACAGAAGAACACAGAAGAACACAGAAGAACACAGAAGAACACAGAAGAACACAGAAGAACACAGAAGAACACAGAAGAACACAGAAGAACACAGACGAACACAGAAGAACACAGAAGAACACAGAACACAGAAGAACACAGAAGAACACAGAAGAACACAGAAGAACACAGAAGAACACAGAAGAACACAGAAGAACACAGAAGAACACAGAAGAACACAGAAGAACACAGAATAACACAGAAGAACACAGAAGAACACAGAAGAACACAGAAGAACACAGAAGAACACAGAAGAACACAGAAGAACACAGAAGAACACAGAAGAACACAGAAGAACACAGAAGAACACAGAAGAACCCAGAAGAACACAGAAGAACACAGAAGAACACAGAAGAACACAGAAGAACACAGAAGAACACAGAAGAACACAGAAGAACACAGAAGAACACAGAAGAACACAGAAGAACACAGAAGAACACAGAAGAACACAGAAGAACACAGAAGAACACAGAAGAACACAGAAGAACACAGAAGAACACAGAAGAACACAGAAGAACACAGAAGAACACAGAAGAACACAGAAGAACACAGAAGAACACAGAAGAACACAGAAGAACACAGAAGAACACAGAAGAACACAGAAGAACACAGAAGAACACAGAAGAACACAGAAGAACACAGAAGAACACAGAAGAACACAGAAGAACACAGAAGAACACAGAAGAACACAGAAGAACACAGAAGAACACAGAAGAACACAGAAGAACACAGAAGAACACAGAAGAACACAGAAGAACACAGAAGAACACAGAAGAACACAGAAGAACACAGAAGAACACAGAAGAACACAGAAGAACACAGAAGAACACAGAAGAACACAGAAGAACACAGAAGAACACAGAAGAACACAGAAGAACACAGAAGAACACAGAAGAACACAGAAGAACACAGAAGAACACAGAAGAACACAGAAGAACACAGAAGAACACAGAAGAACACAGAAGAACACAGAAGAACACCGAAGAACACAGAAGAACACAGAAGAACACAGAAGAACACAGTAGAACATTTTACCTCTAAAACATATTACAAATAAACAATCTTTAAAAAAATAAACCCAAAATAGGTGTACAGAAAATATACAGCAAAATTAAAAGGACAATATTCATTGTTTTATATTAATTTAATAAAACCAACATTTACCCTCTTCTTCAAGGTCAGTTATTTTTATGTTTAATATTCTTCGTAAGTTTGTATTTTTGTATTTTGTAATTTTCATAATTTTTTTAATTTTATATGTTTATATTTCTTTATTTTTATGTTTCTAAATTATTTATTTTTGTCTTTATATTATTCTAGACACAATTTCAGCAATATACAAAACTTTGATTTAAAAATACTACTGAAAAAAATCTAAATTAGAAATCACTTGCATGAGATTAATATTCTTCTAACCGCGTGGGAAAAACGC